GGTTTTGTCATCATCAGGTACAAGTCCTGATGATGACAAAACCTTGTCGAAACGTTGTACATTTGCTGTTATGTTACACTTATATTAAAGTTTTTCTTCATTACCCATTCAAGCCGTCTCCAGCCATTATTGTCGGTCAGTCAGTCAATCGTTCACACTTGATGTCTCTGAACTTCGTGAGTTACACGAGTCCAGTTCCAGTATTTCTATTATAATACTTCCTCTTTTGATAGCCTGTTCCTATTTTAGTTGAATTTAATCGCTGACATAGGCGTAAGTAGCTCCTAAATTTACCAGATCAGGCATGGCGTTATGTGTGTGACACAACATCATCCACATCATTATGACGTCAGATAGGTAGGATCCGAATAGGAAAGCCGGGAAGACTCCTATGATCGAAGACACAGAAGTGCATTCGCACCCTATCGACACCTATGAAAAAATAAGTAAGAAATTAGCACACATATGTTTAGAAATTATTACGAAAAAAGCCTTTGTTAAAACAGACTGAAGATACCAATTACCTGTAGGAAAGAGGACGACTTTTCCTCAGAAGAAGAACAGGTGTGTATGCAGTCACATGGTCATCGTATGTTTTAACCGTTTATTCAAAGACACCAATATGTAGGATGTTCTTGAGAAAGGAAATTTTACATTACTGTTGTTTATTTATTTTGTGTATTGCTAGTTTTATCCGGAATAGTTTTTGGTTTCCCGTCATTTTTGACGGGCTTGTACGTTAGTATGTATGTATATAGAAAAAGAGACAGAGAGAAGAATATGGCTGCTATTTTTTATTCGTTTTTTTATAACTAGATACTAATTACTAAGTAGTTTTCCATTTAATCTTTTCTAAAAAAAAGGAAGTAAATTTAGAGATGCTAATATCAATCCTTCAAACACAATGCAAAAAAAAAAGATAGTAAGGAGAGTATTTGCATCATCCCAACATAATAACACAGGCGCACAGTGTAGTAGAATGTTAACATTCATAAATACGATACATTACACTCAATTGTGCTTGAATAGTTTTGTATATTGCTATATGTAAATTATTGCCTGTGCTATTACGTAGGGATGGTGCAAATACCCTCTTTACTATCTTGTTTGCATTGTTTTTAAAGGATTGATAATTAGCCATCCACACATTTACTTCCTTAGTTACTCTTTACTTGTTAATTTGTTTTTTTAATGCAGTGTTTCAATAGACTGTATTTATAACCAAGTTCTAAATACAGTGAGTTTCCAACTGTAACATTTATTGTTTATCTATTATCGGTTGGTAATTCCCGTTTCACCCTGTACTTAAGCTTTTTAAAAGAACATAAAATGTCTGTAAAAAAGCTAACTTCAAGGGGTAGTTATAACATCGTTTACACTAGAATCATGATTTTTTTAAAATTACTACTAGTTATTAATAATACTTATAAAAGCGAATATTCTGTTTGAAACTATGTTACCTCAGCAAAATTGGTTAACACCATTGTTTTGATATCTAAGTTACCATGTAATAAAAATGTAGCAGTAGAAAGAAAAACAAGAAATTCAAACTTTTTGTTATGATAATTACCGACACTCCCAGAACATGTGGTTCAGTCATTACATAGATATTGTTATAAAAGGAAACGCAGTACAGTATTGTAAAGTTCTGATAACCTATTGTGGAGATATTTAAAATATCATTTCGATGAACAATCTGAGCTATATCTACACAGGCAGTGCTACCACCTGCCTGATACTTTAAATCTGCTGCCGTCTTTAAGGAAAACCCGAGAAAGACTATAATCGATCCTGGGTCTTCTTAATATAGAAGTTAGTGTGCTATCCACTCAACTATGCTATCAAGAAGACCCAGGATCGAATCCTGGTCACTACCACCACAGAATCAGGACTTCCCTGAGGATGATGACAGACGAAACAGGACAAAAGATTAGTTAATATTTAGTATTGAAAAATTATTAACTAATTAATAATTAGAGTTAATGACTATAGAGGCTACTAAACATGACTCAAGTTAAAAAAAATCGTTTCAATGACCATATATATCACTAGTTAAAATCTATAGAACATTAGCACTATCAAACTCAAATTTGTCACAATTCTGGTACGCCAACATACACCATGTGTTTTTTTAAAACCTCCTTGTATAGAATTTTTCATTTATTCGGGTGTATTGCATTTTCAACATAAAACGTTGGCCATGTTAAGAAAGTCATTACGTTCTTCTCGCTCTAGCTACCTATTGTTCTGTGTTATTCACCAGAAGATAGACAACAGTTTTCTCTATCGATAGGTCAGGCAATATTTCGAGGTTACGACCTCCTTTACTTTCTAATGGGAATGGTCAACAGTCAGGTGAAAACGTTAGTCGTCTTAGGAAAATGTGACATTACAGTTTTCAGTATAAAGTGTTTTTCGTTTTTTTCGGGCATGATTACTTGCAATATCTTAGACGATTAATACAATAAGTTCTAAAGCCAACAAAACTGAGCTATCAGAATAGCATATCACCTCTAGTTTATACCTTGCTTGCTATTTAAACAAGACAAATTAAAAATTGAGGATTTAAAAACCTGTAAATGGAGACAGTAAAAAAAGTAAGGAAACAAGGCTGGAAATACTATAAGGTAGCTAACTTTATACATTGTAATGATAATAAACAGCTAGTAGCTAGCTGATACAGTTCATGGTGATTTACTGTAGCTATTGACTATCTGATCGCATTAGTTCGAGATGTAAAATGTTACCCTGCAGCTGGAGATTGTCATGGAAATTTGTTTGAAAATATAGTAAGCATTTATAGTTTCTATGTAACTAAATGCTCTATATATAATGCACAGCAATGGTCAAATATATACCTAGACTAAGACACAACCCCCAATAAGTGCGTATAACATTTTACCAGCAGAAAAGCAGCCTTTTTAAATAAAACATATATGTCTAAAACCCCGCTTTAAATAAACTTTCGTGTCTCTTAAAGTAATTACTCTACAAATGTGTGTCATAAAAATTCATATTATGAGTATTTGTTACAATCATCTAATGTTCATCTGTTATCGGCTGGTAATTCCTGTTTCACACTGTACTTAAGCTTTTTCAAGGAACACCTGATATTTGTAATAAAGCTAAATTCAATGGGTAATGATAACATCGTTTACACCATAATTATATTTTTTAGTTTATGTAAAATATAGAAGAAACAAATCGACTTTTCAATACTCCTACGACCTTC